GATGAATCCAACAGCTACATCATGATACACTAAAATAAAAAATGTCTATACAGAAAAGCAGTTTCTCCAAATACCCATCACACAATATCAAAAACTACTTCCGTTGTCAAGAATATGGAGGCCTCTCATCATGTGAAACAACAGTTTGGCAGAATAAATCCCTGAGTATTTAAGGTCAAATATTACACAAACACCACATACAACATTTAAACTACATTTAATATATGTATAAATATGTCATTGGAATGCTAAAAAAATAAAGAAACAGGAAAGTCCTGTCTTCCCAGGACTCCATGAAGAAAAGAGTCGTAAGCTCATAGGTAAAAAAAAAAAAAAAAATTTTCAATCATGAAAAAAATTTCAATCTTATAAACAAATTTCAGCAGCTGTGTTTGCAAATGCATTAGCAAACAACATGTCAATATGCTGAGCACGACAAATCCAGTCTGGAAATGATAATGAAATTCTTCCATAGAAGCGCTTTCTTTGTTAAGGGAAAGTTTACAAAGTTATGATGAGTACCTTTAAACTTTGCGATACCTAAAGGACTTTTGATGGCACTCGCTGTAGCTTCAATGACCTAGAAAAGCAGGCTTGAACTCAACAAAGTACTTTTAACACTCCCAAACTCTAAAGCTTAATAAACAATGAAAAAAGATAGTGAGGAAGTAGGAACACTACGTATTGTGTATGTACGTTTACCATAGGAACGACAATCAGATCAAAGTTCTAATATATATATATATGTGTACAAATCACATGGTGTGTGACTGTGACCTCATTTTTTGATAATCAACTCCTTCCAAGTGATCTGAAAACATGGATTGTCTGGGTAGAAGGCCTCTCTCTTCCTAGAGTAAATCAATGTTGAGAGTAATTAGGTTGAATGAAACACGATGGAAAGTTAGTTGTGAATGGGATCATGAGAAATTTAACAACACATTCAAGTTTTCAATAATAGTGAAAAATCTAACTTACAAAAAAAGGATATTATTGTCGTGCAACACATAATAATCACACCAGCAGATAGAAAATACAAGGACACAAATTGTGCTTACTGACAGACTCTGTAAATAGGGGGGTACAATATTAGTAGATATAACTAGTCTTGGTTATCTATATATAGATACGAAGCTGGATCAGAAAGTAAAGAATTAATGGAAAGTGCCATTTCGAGGCAAAGATATTTAAACTTCAATAACAAAAGCAAAACACACAGAAATCATGTGTGACATTTCTACTCCTAAATGTCTCTCTTGATCATTTTATGATGACACAAACTAAGGATAGTTTGCCTTGGGGAGGAAACAAGATGGTGTTCACCAAATAAAATATCCATTTTCTACGTCTTTTGTTTTTTGTTTGTTTAAGTGGAGATTTTACGGCGCTCGTAACTGCATAAGGTCATATGAGCGCCAAGGGGTGGACGTCAACAGAGAAGTCCTTACAGGGAATCAGACTTACTCTACTCACCTCTCTAGCTTCAACAGTTAAAGTCTGGTTTGACTATTAAGGCACCCCGAAAATAGCGGGTCACAAGAGTGTGACAAACATACTAAAGAAGTAGAGGAAAAATGACGATAGTAAGGATTAGGAAAGAAAAAGCAGCAGCTCAATTCCTTGTTGCAATTCAGGCACAGTTATGAGCATGACATTGATTAATCAGCCCATTTACAATTTAAAATTCTACTGTGCTTAAGAACTCGAGATGTCAATGTCTTCACCTGTGAGAATGGCCCAAAGACACTTCAGTCGATAGTACCGCCCCAGGGGGGTTAATGTTTCTCCCCAAAAAGCAAGAGCCACAACTCTGCGCATAAAAAAGCAAAGGATCTAAGATTCGCCTCTTCCATCCTTCAGTCCTTAATTGATCTCTATGACTTCTGGTTATTTGCTATTCTAAAATATAAGCTTGCTGGACGAAAGTTTAAGTTTAAACACACCCAGGACTAAGCAAGAGCTATCAGTTCATAGATGCAAAGCATGCTGTAAGTGAATAACCATTGTACCTTCCAGATGTGTTTTAGTTTTAGTAGAGGTTTTACGGAGCTCGCAACTGCATAAGATGTGGATGTGGGGGATGGAATACTGTATACAAAGGCAACAACAATATTTCACAGAACTGAAAATTTCAAGTCCATAGTGTTAAAAGTTTTTGAGATATTTTACAACTTCCAAATATTTTAATACTTTTTGATCCATCTTCGTAGTATCAAATATTTCATGAGCAAAACCGCATTCCATGAGTGATATGGAAAACCAACAGTTTCATATTGCTTTCATTTTTAGCACAAAAATTTGAAATAACTTCAAACAAAAGAGCAATGAGCTTCATCATTACTAACAATTGTTCACAAAAAACAGTGAAAAAAAGAAAAAGAAAGGAATACAAGATTCAAGAAGAAACATTTCCTTAAAGCTCACTGACAGCCTGTTATGTAACACACCAGGCACTAAATACAGGACCACCACAACAAATGATAACTGTGGAAACATGAGGACAATGCATTTACAAACAACAAGTTTGCACCGCTCCCAAAAGAAATCAGTCCTAAGGGGGCAGAGTTAGGAATGCCATTAAGCAGCAAAGAGCCATGTATTTGATCATATTTCATTTTGCCTATATGGCAACCCTGAACAACCCCTGCCTCGACCCACATTGCCAGATAATACATTACAAGGAACACACAGAGCAAGAGGCGAGAGAATGTAACACAGGTTACACTCTCATAGCTCTGGAATTCAGACAAAAAGCAAAATGAAAATGAAGAAACAGCATGGGTGTCAACATTGTGTGTCAGATCAAAGACCTCTTATTGTTCAAGCAGCAACTTTACCCTTCACAGTAACACTACAAGTTGTCATGCACTCTGGGAGAAGTAACGATGAAATAGAAATTAACTCCTTCAAAAGCCACGGCTGGTATATGCTTGGATTACTTGGATCTAGAGCTAGAATCATAGCAAGCGGCACATGTCCATAGCTTCTCTCTCCTTTCCAGCGTCTACCTCAGGGTCTTCCGGCTAATTGTCTCCACGAGGAGCTGGTTTGAGACATGCCTGACCACTTCTCAAAGCAAACTTTTTTTCCCTGTGCCCCGTACACACTTTTCTTTTATTGTGCAGATTGTGTGGGAGTCTTATCTCCTCTTGGTTGTGAAGGCTCTCCTTGCTGTGCAACAAGAAACATTTTTTTCTCTGAACCCCTTTATATTACCAGTCAAAGTCACAGTGCAGCCAGCAATGACATATCATACTCATGGGCCAGAGCACTGGATAGAATATGAATTTTTTTGTCAAAATCAGCAACAAGCTTTACAAAGTAAGAATGACAAGAAGCCTAAAGATTGACAGTTATATAATTTAAAGTATTTTCAGTAAGACTTCCACAGGGCCTGATTTATTTTCCAGAATTTCAATTATGCCACAAATCAAATTCATTATTTAAAACTTTGCAGTCACACAGCCAGTAGTACAAAATACCCCATCTGGTCACCCAGCCAGGAGAGCGACTGCAACGGACTTCTCGGGCCTGGCTTAGAATTGAGCCAGGTGACTGGAACGGATATCTTTCACCGGCGCATTATTGCGGCAAGAGACAGCAAAGTGTTCACTAGTGGATTAATAATGAATGGGAACTGGAACACTAATACAGCTCATGGGGACTCTACTATGCCCTTCATCAATTTGATATTTTCAAAAAAATCCAGGAAAGCAAATGAATAATATTCTATGCACCTTGAAACAACATAAATTAACATAATGATGATGTTTTGAAAACTTAAGAATGACTGACATCTAAAGAACTTAACATCAACCAATTACAAACAAGGAACAGTTGAGGTCACATAAAGGGAAAATATCATACTACTGAACTTCACCATTTCAAAAACTTGCAGCTTAATGTACAATTTGTACATAGATAATATATAAGATCAGTTAATCAGTTAACCCTATCTGTACGCCTCGGGGTCATTTTGCACCCCCGGGGTATTCTTCACATTTTAGAATACTTCTAGTATGAAGATCTCTTTTAAACTTTCAGTATTTCTTTAAAAAAAATCATTTTGACAGACTGCTATGCAAAGTGTACGGATCGGATTAACGAGTAAATTCCCCCTTCGGAAAGTGGTGGTACAAAGTTCCCCACGTCGTATGGATATGATAGTAAAACAGGACTTACGGATAGGGTTAAGATGATGTAATGTGAGCTTATGAGGGAGAGGACCAGCAGCAGTACATTCAAATTGCCACTAAAAAAATCTTCTTTAGTAGAAATTTCATTAAAAATTAGTAGGGTATATAAAAAAATTAGTAGGGTATATAGCCTAATGAAAGAACTGAGTAAAATTTAGCATAAATTTGTCTTAAACAGCTATTTGAAAGCACATCATAAGATGTAACTGTAACCGTAAATTAAATGTTCACCCCCACCCCCAACCCAATTTATAATATATCTATCGAGGGACAAACTGCCTCAAGCCAGCCTGTTGGAGCTACGCCAGGCTGAGAGGGGTCCAACATTTCAGCAGAGAGATGGAGGCACTCTTCAATCTAAACCTACGCACTCTGGAATCAAACTCGTCTTCTGTCCGCAACACTGAATGGCCTTACTGATACACCACAGAGGCTGGTATGGCTCGAGGTACAGAGTCTACTTCATTACAGTTCCAACCATGTGGTTAGTCAATCATTTCCTGACTGCAAAAATCTACTTCTGTATATATATCTAATATATACAGAGAGAGAGAGAGAGAGAGAGAGAGAGAGAGAGAGAGAGAGAGAGAAAGAGAGAGAGAGAGAGAGAGAGAGAGAGAGAGAGAGAGAGAGAGAGAGAGAGAGAGAGAACAAAAAGAGAGAGAGAGAGAGAGAGAGAGAGAGAGAGAGAGAGAGGGGGAGGAAAAAAACCTCACATTAGCGTGAAAGAAGTCTAGGGGGGAAAAAAGTTTTCCTCCAACACAGCAAGTAACTATTCAAGACACAATGTCTAACTCTAATACATCTGGCTAGAAACATTTAATGCATAAATTTTATATATAGGCTTATCAGCTTAGTTTTCTTTCAGCCTGTATGGGTTTACTTAAATGTGAAGAGGACCTATCTATGCAAAAATACCAACTGTGCTTACCTCAAACACTAGTACAGCAAACATTTAACTACATGAACACATTTTGTCAACCACAGGGCATTAAGTTCACACGGTGCACATTCAAAATATTTCACAAACATGATTGCTGTTGTGATTGTGGCTTGAGTATAGGAATCATATTGTACTCTTCATTTCTACGCCTCTCCTCAGTAACAAAGACATTCTTCCTGTATCTGTATTGATTAAATTCCATATTTTCATTTAAGAGCTCACCTATATTTACACAGATCATCAGGCCTGCTCACAAATTTAAAAAATCCCTCAAAGAACAAAGTTTGTCATAGCACAAAACGTTCCATTGAAATTCAAGGGAGAGCATTTAAATGAAATGTCTTCACCTTGCAGACAAAAAAAAAATAAAGAGAAGAAGAAATTTCTTTTCACAAGAACAGTAAGCAATAGCACTTGCAGAACACAACCCCCCTGCCCCCCCCTCCCCAATAGGGTTGAGCAGTTACACAGTAGACTCCATGCCATAAGCCGCTACAGGATCACTATACAGAGAGGGCTGGGAGGAGTAGAGGCTGTCTTTCTCCTTTTTACCTGACGATGGGGCCTCCTCTCCTTCATCTTCTGAATCGGAAGTTTTCGACATGAGTTTCGGGTCCGTGACCAGATGATCAAAATAATGTCTGAACACAAAGTTGTGATCTGAGAGTGTGAGAGAAGACCGCTCACAGTTCTCTAAAGGCGGGACTTTGGAATCTTCGTCCACGGTGTGAGAACTCTCGGCGTTAGAGGGAACGCAGATTTTCTTCAGACCGTGAGAGGTCTTCCCCCTCTTCCAGAGATAAATCGTGATGATGAGAAGGATGATGGCAAAACCCATGCATGAAGCCACAATGGCTCCCTGGGTACCGGCTGGCAACGAGGACGAGCTCCCCTCATGCTTGCAGCCGGACAACTGCTCATCCTGAAGAGCAGAAACCTTGACCTTCGACAGATCGGACGGCGATGCACACGTGGGCTCCAGACAGATCCCCTGCGTGATGCCTGTTGTGTGACACTGCAGTTTAGCAGCACTGTTGGCCTTCTGGAGCCAGTCACGAAGAGCTTCAATCTGGCAATCGCAGACCCACTGGTTATCATGCAGGCTCAGGACATCTAACTGATTACACTTGGCTAACATAGACTCGGGCAAAAAGTGAAGCTGGTTCCTGGAGATATCCAGCTTCTGCAGCTTTGGCAAATTCTTCAATAACTCTTCTCCGAATGAATCCAGGGCACATGAAGATAAATTCAAGGACACCAACAGCTGAAGATCTTGAAACAAAGTGGGATCCAAGTTTTGCAAACGATTACCTGCCAGGTTCAGGTAAGTGAGATGATGAGTTAGAGGCTGAAACACGGCCTTGCTTAAAGAGACAATGCTATTGTTGAACAGATTCAGCTCTTGCATGGCCATAGCAGTGAAAGCATCCTCATCAATGTCGCTGATGACATTAGAAGACAGATCCAGAGTCTGTAGATGCAAAGCAACAAACTGTCTTTTGGCGATGCTTTGAATCTTGTTGCTGTCCAGCAACAAAGTCTTCAGGAAGATGACCTTTGAAAGCACTTTGGGTGGAGGTAATACAGTAATGAGGTTCTTCCCCAAATCAACAATCACCAGTTTCGTCATCTGGGCCAGCACATTTTTCTCCACGAAGTTGAGGTCACAGTCCCTAGCGTGAAATTCCCGGACGTTGGACAGGCCTTCGAATGAATGGCTGTACAAGCTCTTCAGTGAGTTGCCATTTAGCTTTAGGAAGGTGAGCTCAGTAAGTGACCGGAAAACTCCAGACGGGAGCTCCTAATGGATAAAAACAAACAAATTAAATACAACAAAATCTTAAACTACAATGTAATAAGAATAAAATATACATAGGTAATAAACTCTATAAAAAAAGGGACAATACAATTTTTAAAAATTGCTAATGACATAACCATCTCTAGTAGCAAAGTAGACAGGATACAACTTATGACCAATCAGAGTTTTCTATTACCTGCAAGGAATTACATTACCATTAAAAAAAATCAAAAGATTCTCAAGATGCTAAAGACAAGAAACATTTACAGGAATGCTATTTAGTTTTAGTTTTAGTTAAGTGGAGTTTTTACGGCGCTCGCAACTGCATACGGTCATATGAGTGCAAAGGGGTGGATGCCAACAGAGAAGTCCATATTGGGAATCAGGCTTACTCTGCTCACCTCTCTAGCTTCAACAGGAAAGAAGTCTGCTTTGACTATCAAGGCACCCCGTGAATAGCGGTTCAAAAGAGTGTGACAAACATAAAGTAGAAGAAAATGACAATAGTAAGGATTGGGAAAGAATAAGAAGCAGTTCCCCGTTGCAGTTCAGGCAGTTATAAGCATGACATTGATGAATCAGCCCATTTACAATTTAACTGAGCATAAGAACATGTTACTGTCCCCCACTTTGGGAATGGCCAAAAGACACTTCAGTCAGCACTGCCCCGGGGGTCTAGGAATGCAATTTGTATTTCAAGTTCACAACTGAATTGCCTAAGAATATATAATAAAATAGTCATATATTAATTTAATGTATAACAGGCAGTTGCTTATAAGACCAAAAGAAGAAGGAGGCCAGCTTTATTTTAACACTATCCGTACGCCCTGGGGTCATTTTGTACCCTCGGGGTTGTATTCTTCACATTTCAGAATACTTCTAGTACGAAGATCTCTTTGAAACTTTAAATATTTCTAAAAAAAACCCATTTTGACAGACAACTATGCCAAGCGTACGGATCGGATTAACCAGTAAATTTCCTCTTTGGAAAGTGGTGGCACAGAGTTCCTCACGTCGTACAGATACGATAGTAAAACATGAAGTACAGATAGGATTAGGTATAGGGAAGCACATCAAAACAATAAATAACTGCCATTCCAACCAACCACCCTCAGACTAACAAAAAATAAGCAGAACATTATCCATTATAAAACTACACAGATGAGTGTCCCAATTACCTGCAGGGAGTTACTGCTGAGATCTAGAGAGGTCAGAGTGGGAATGGCAGCGAGCGTGCCCTCTAGCCCGGCCAAGCGGTTGTGCGACAGGTTGAGTGACCGTAGATGGCTTAGGTCAGTGAACACCTCTGGGCTGATGCTGCTGATCTCGTTCTTGCTTAAGTTCAGCTCCTCTAGAGAGGTCATGTTGTCGAACACTCCAGGGTCCAGAGTCTGAAAACAGAAAGTTTTCTTTTTATGATTTGCAAGAAGCGTTGGCAATGCTGCTGTAAGCTGAGAAAACACTTTTTTTATTTGCTAAATCAAAAGCCCAATCAGTTACCCTGCTTGCATGAAAAAATTCAAAGTAAAACTGCACCTAGTTTTGAATAAATTAGAATTCAAATTTCAGAAAAATGCCTTTTTTGAATGGTTACGCTGACAAAAAAAATCCTTTTATCTCGAAACTGTCGTGAATTTTAAAAAAAGGCCCTTTGTTAGCTTATATGGCAATATGGAAGTCAAACTTCTCTTTCAAAGTGGCTGTCATATTTTTTTAAAAGTTTCCCCTTGAAAAATATGAGCAAACAGCTGACAGTGTACAATGATAACGGCCACACATTGAAGTTTATAAAAGCTTCAAATTGAGCGTGAAAAAATTTCTGCATAAATTTTATTTCCTAAAAGGCACAGAATATTTAAAAAAATAATACTTGTACTTCCCTCTGAGTTTATATTCACTCTAAGTAACGAAATGATTCTCCCATCTTGTAAGTTGACTTACTACTTGACAGATATTAAATTCTTTAAAGTTACGTGTTTTAGACTCAAGAACTCAATTTAATTTACCACGTCTATCAAACAAATATCTTGTATATCTTCACACAAGTAATTTCTTACCCAGCAACATTACTATTATATCAACTGTAAATAAATCCATCTAGTTCTTTTTCTTTTTACCTAAAGAAATGCACACTGATGAAATAAACGGTGATTTAGAGCAAAAGAAAAGCAAAAAAGACAGATAAAAATAGCAAAGAGAAAGCAAAGATGAAGGAGGTACGAGTGGTGCCCTCTAACTACCCTCCGAAAAATCTACAGAACATGGCACAGTTAGCTCTGCAAGTAGAAACATTTGATTAATTGATCTCTCACCTTCACAAAACTGAAAGTGATGGTCAGTCTGGTGAGGTCCTTGTCCTTCAAGTCTTGTAAACATTTTCTGTCCATGCTTTGAACTCCCATGACCTTGTCCATTTCCAGGCTCTGGAGGTCGCCGCCCGTCGCTGCCGTGATCTCCGCCACCTTCCCGCCCACACATGACATGTCCTGGGACTCATTCTCGCAGTGGCAAACAGACAGACACTCCGGGGCGGCTGCAACGCTGGTGGCCAGGCACAGCACCAGGACGAACACGGAGGAACTTTGGGAGCGGGTCATGGGAAGTGAGAGCGGGGGCGTAGCAGCTCTGTCGTGCCGCAGCATTGATGACGTACGCGCTCGAGTCTTCACATGTCACACGGCCACGTGACGACACGCTGATACCACCCAGCTCTGAAACAGGATTGTGTAAAGAGTAAGTTTTTCTGTTTGTAAAAAGAGCATAAAGAATAACTGTCACTTGAGTTAGAGTTTAGTTGTAGTGTTTTGCGGCTCTTGCAACACAATAACGTCATATATAAGTGCCGAAGATTAGAGGTGTTACAAGAGAGTAACAAACACAAAAAAGAAGGAGGGGTGATAAAGACGATAGACGTTTGATAGGAAAGTAGAAGCAAACCACACACCAGGGCACCCGTCAACCACCCACCTTGAGTATGAGTAAAGAAAAACACATCTGCTAGACAACAATCTTTTACGAAGTGCTGGGAAAGAGCAAGCAAGACAGACAGAATTCTAGAAACAACAGAGAAAGTAAAAAAGCAGGATCTACAAGCTGCATACTTCAACCACTTGCAAGTGAACTTAACTTCTTTTAAAGATCCCCAAAAAGTACATAAGCTTTACATTCCAAGTTGTAAGAAACACACAAGAAAAAGTACTTCTACTTTTGACTCATAAGGTATTGCCACAACATTTCTTTAATTTAAGAAAATACATAGACATGACAAGGGTACTTGGGGAAAAAAAAAATCGGAGAAGAATAGTATACGAAACAGCATCATCCAGTGTCATCCTCCAACAGCTTGCAACACCATTTTGAAAGAAAGGCTTGAGTCATTGTTAACTTGCAGAGTACAATAGCAGCCACATTTTACCACAAAGTTTTTTAGTAGAGGTTTTACGGCGCTCGCAACACAATAAGGTCATGTACGTGCCGAAGATTAGAGGTGTTACAAGAGAGTAACGAACACAAAAAAGGAGGAGGGGAGATAAAGATGATAGATGTCTGATAGGAAAGAAGAAGCAAACCACACCAGAGCACCCGCCAACCACCCACACCGTTTTGAAAGAAAGGCTCGAGTCATTGTTAAGTAGCAGTATACAATAGCAGTCACATTTTACTATGAACAGATTGAAGCAAAAGTAACTCAGAAAAGAAGAATGAGCATGTACAACAGAGAGAAAAATGCCCACAACCATATGCACAAAACACAAGACAGGGAAAAAAAAAAGAGGTAGAGAAACTAGATTTAATAAAGTAAATAGCGGAATGAAAGTGTACAGACGTTACCTGACACTTTGAAAGACTTCAGACTCAGACAACAGAGGCCAGTGTTTGACAATAATTTAGGTAAAGCACCACCAAGGCCGAAGTGACAAAGAATCAGGCCATAGTACACTACCGTACTTCAGCCTTCCCCAAGATAACCCACAACAGGACAACCTACACCCCCCCCCCCTCCTTCTTATTTTTTATATGATGATCTAAATCTTGTGTCAATGACAATGGGGGCATTATAAAAATAGTCAGCCAGACTGGAAACATAACCCAAAGTCTGCTTGTCTGTAACTGTAACAAGAAAGGAAAAACAGATGTCACAAAGCGCACAGAAGATTGCACAGGCTACATATGAAGAAAGACCATTGTAATTTTTTGTACATTTTTTGTAATTTACATACTAGCTGGGCCCCCTTGAAAGAAAAGTGACAGATGTGTTTCCAAGTTACCAAATAATATTTTACAGAGACAGAGACAAAGGAGTCCAGAAAAAGTGACGATGGGCTTCAAACGAAAGGATCACAGTCGAATTTAGCACCAAGTAAACTGTCTTTAAACTGAAAAAATGAAGGGCGTCATGATCTGGGGAATATTTTAAAGAACCTTTTGGCGAAAACCGCATGTCGATCGATGCAGCCATTAAATAGTCTTTTGAATAGCAAAATTCGGCCACCACAAATAGACAACAGAAATATGTAAATGCTACAAATAGAAAGGATATAACCGGCACCAGTTCATTTGACCATTTTGGTATAGAGTTGATCCACAGGCTACTATGTAAGTTTCTGGAGTTTGTTTTAGTAAGTGTTTTACGGTGTTTGCAACACAATAAGGTCGGTCATATAAGGGGGGGGGGGGGTAGAGGTGTTACTAGAGAGAAACAAACAGAAAAAAAAAAGGAGGGGGGGTCAAAGGCCCGGCCGGTGGGATCAAGGATCACTTGTCTGATCGGCAAGCAGTGGTCAAAACTTCACACCTCTCAACTGCTATCCTGTCAGATAACAGACAATGACATGCGTCAGTCTTACTTATCCAATTACCACAAGTGCTTGCCTTTCATAGGACCACTGTTTGACATATTAGCAACAGAAACGTTTGAGCATCTCCTTTGCTTCTACCCTTAGCCCCACCCATCAGTGTAACAAGCACAGTCAACCAATGCCACCCCTCGCTGCCATGCAACAACGATTCGCGAAACTCTTTTCTCGGCTGGCGCTATGATCAGGGTGGCAGGCATTGGTCAATCTAATTTCACACTTCTGGCTACCCTGGAAAGTTTTCGTAGTGGCTAGCTACTCGAGCACTCTCACGGGCAGTCGTGAGATTTCACACCCTCACCACCCTGACCATCTGCATCGCTCAGGGTTCGACTGTATTTGGTTTCAAGACCAAGATCAGAAGGTGTAAGGTGTGACTTCCTTTTTTTACCCTTATTAGGGCCTACATCTATCAATTTCACTCCAACAGTGATGGTGTAATACGGGTGACATACGACACAGGCCGACCTTGGGATCTATAATCCAGAAGGAGTTCCACAGAGGGCCGGCCGACCAACAGCACACAAAAGAGGGGATATATTGTGAGCCGGGTATACCCTAACCGTAACCCAAACCCTACATCTATCACTAACCCTAACCCTTTCACAGTTTGCTCAGTGGAGATTGTCAAGGTAAGTGCTGGCCCTCTGCGGAACTCCTCCCTGCGATCCAATGGTGATCATTGAGTTTTGTCCCGAGTCCCGCTGAGGCGACCTGGGCCAGATGCACACACACGGCACAGGCCAGGACTGTGTAAACCTAGTGCCTTCCATCGTGGCGACCTACCAGGCTAAAATTTTGCTGGCTAGTCTAGCAATAGTCAATAGGTCTAAGAAAATAAAGCAAAAGAGGTTCTGGTCCTATTTGAGGCTTCTCCATAGGTCTAAATATAATACAGCAATTTTACAGAATTCTATATAAGGGTAGCCACCAAGCGAAACCCAGGGTCGGTACTTTCTCTACGAGGGAGGGGGGGGGGGGGGGGGGGGGGGGTAAGAAATACACACTCAATGTAATGATATGCACCACCATAAAATGTCGGGACAGATAGGGTTAGAGGAAACTGTTGGTGATAGTCATAGAGACGACGGCCCAGCCACGTGATTTTCCAATTCATGGACGAGCATTCATGCATGTTGCGCATCGCATGCCCAGGTCTAACTAAACATTAATTACATGCCACACGCAGTCCCCCAAACATCAGCCAGAAACCTTCTCTTTTTAAAGATGCATTTCCAGTGACCAATTAATAAATTAAATAACATTAGCGTTCGTTTAGAGGGAGTGACCGTGCGTTTGTACGTCTAAATTATGTAGTAAAAAAACCCATCAGAAGACGAAAGCGTGCCTTTGAGCGGAGCATGCTTTTGTGTGGCGCGCGTTTAGGCGGAGATTACTGTAGCTGATCAGGTAGGAAAGACGACTGGAACAGCCGCCGCCCCCCCCCTCCTCCTTCCGCACACAGCCCCAACCCTCCCTCATAAATCGTGATTTACGATTGCCATGACAATGCATGTTTGACATTTGCAAATGTGCTACAAAATGACCGTCTCCATTCAACTTCAACCATGAGGATTTTGAGTGTGACGAGATGATTGCGACGTCTTGACTGCACCGGTGAGATGAAATCACTCACCGTGTGACGAAATGACTGGTATTCTGCATTCGGACCACCGCTGCATTATTTTTAACTCGAGTATTCCTGTGCTGTTTCCTCATTCACTTCGAGCGACCGTAGCGTTTCAGTCGTGCCTCTGTGCCAATAGGGCGCTGTGAAAGTTGCTCCTGCAAACTAGATATCTAATCTAGATCTAGATCTAGATGCTCCTGGCGCCGTGAACGTGATGTAGTCACAGGCACGGCGAGTTGTTAACTGGTCTTACCAAGATATGAACTTGAACAAACTTGACTCAGCACCCTGCCTAGATTATATGGTACTGATTCTATAGAGAGTACACTCAGGACTCTTCTACTATCTAGACTCTAGGCTTCCATAAACTTAAACAACGTGTATCCTATCTGAGCTAATTTTTAGGGTCTAGGCTCCTAACTAGGCAAGTAGAATCTAGATTCTATGCCTAAGACCTGACCAAACCTCCTAAGAAATGAAACCACAATCTATCTAATCAGATCTAGATCTATATGGACCATGGAACTCTTCTTGTTCTAATAACTTACCGTGTGCACAAACGACAAGCAATTCTCGAAGATCGCACTAGATCTAGATCTAGATTCCAGCGAGAGAGCTTGAAGTTACACCTTCGATTGCAGGAAGTGTTCTTCTCGTCTCGTCTCTCGTTTCAGGCTACTGAGGAGTCAGTCAACAAAAAGACATCTGTCTTGCCAGGTAGACCTTGAGAGTGACGGAAATTCCTATCTTCAGGTAGGCTAACAATCTGCTTTCTCAAAGTCCAAACATGATACTTTTTGTTAAAGAAACCTATCTTTCGGCAATACTGCATTGATGCTGGAAGAAAACAGAGACTAACAATTGTGCAATAAAATAATAATGTGCTTCCTTGGTGTTTGCTCACTTCCATTCATTATTTAATTTGTTGGCCTACTTGTTTTGGGACATTAGGCTTACGCAAAAAGGAATGTGAAAAAGGCGTTGCGTTATCCTTATCGTTTAGTATGTACTGGTTTGTTTGTTATGGTTCAATGAGAGAGTTCAGGAGAGGTGATGGTGTTGGCAGAGGAAAGTTGAGAAGCTGACCTCCTGACTCCGTGTACGTGTAGATATCTACTCATTCATAAAACTTAGTTTCTTAAGTTCTTTTCTTATGTGCTCCTGGTTTAGATAGAACTGGGTACTAAACACTTTTGTGACATTTCTCATTTGAAAATGTGCTGAATTCTGAAGGCTGTATTCACTGTATTGTATTACATTTACAGCCTGTATTTAAACCACCTTCACCTGAATTCCTGAATAATTTCTTTATAATATGGCCTTACTTTAACTTTAGCTTAGCCAGCCTTCTTCGAGTTCAGCTTCAGGTCAAATCTCCCTGAATAATCCAGAAATCGAGTGGGATCTAGATCTAGTTAGTAGTGCATATTGGGGAACGAAGTGACTATTCGGACTCGAGTCCGAATATGAAAAAATGTCATTCGGACTGATTCTTGTCCAGCATGACCATGACATCACTTCCGACTTCCTGTGACTTGTGACTCCTGCTTCTTGTCCTGCCTCACTCGTGACTCGCCTCAGGCTGGGTAGAGACCGGGATCACTTCGGGCAAAATGGCGTTAAATTGTGCCAGAGTTGAGTTTTTATCTTATATATATATGATGAATTTGAGGCCGGCCTGAAAAGTTAGAGCGCTTCTAATAAATGTTTATTTGTCCAGAGGTCATCAGAAGCAATTAAAGATGGCTCGTTAGTGGGTGTCGGGGTCGGATGGACGGCCTGCACACGTGTGGCTGTGTGTGCGTGTCGGGGAAGTGGGGGGGGTGCTATCGGTCCGGGCGTTGAACGTCGCATACGCGTCAGTCCCCCCGCGGCAACTGATCATTATTACAATAATAAGCTAGTCTTGACGTAGATCTACGTAATGAATTGTGCGCTGGTCTATGGAATCAAAAGTTGCCGTATTCTCGGCTCTACACAGCAACACAACTTTTTCTTGGTAAACAATCGAGATGACACAGGCTTGTGTATTTTAACGAATCGTTTTTTTTTTTTTTACACAGCTCATTATAATATGCAGGTGCCAGGAGATCTGCTAATCTTCAATGTTACCTTTTTCTACAACAAAGAAAGTGGGAAACATGGGAGGTGGGGGGGGGGGGGGAGGCGTATCAATGAGGCGGCAGGCATCGGATCAGCAGACAAGGAGTGGGGGAAACTAAAAAATGGCAGAAAAATGGAAGCACTGAACGTTAGATCTATAGAACGAAGACACTTTCTTTTTTCCGGACCCGTGTCCGAATAACATTTATTCTTATTCGAATAATGACCCTCTGTGTGTGTGTTTGTGTGTGTGTGTGTGTGTGTGTCTTTTCCTGACCCCCGTCCCCCGATTTATGTTCCCCGATATAACTGGACTTTCTGCTTGAGTTTGTGTGCGTTTGTGACCTTCTACTTCTTGGAATATGAATGTGAAGACTGTAAAAGTAGGTGCACCCAAATTTTCAACCCTCTTGATCTTGGTATCACTCTCACTCCAGGCTGTAAGTTATAATTCAATTAGGAACCGGAAGAGGCTCGATCTAGCCGTACTTAATGACTGCTGGGCTAGCCGTACTTTTATTCTTAATATGATGGCTAGACTGACTATAAAAAAAAGGTAGTGTCAATTGCCACCGAGTGACACGGTGGCACCGAGTAAATTGGAGCTCTTTTGCGTTGGTGGGTAGATCTTGCTTTTGTGCTCGAGTGCTCGGTGTTGTGCGTTCGCCTCTATGTCCCTCTGTGTGTGTGTTTGTGTGTGTGTGTGTGTCTTTATGTATAATGCTAAAGATAGTGTTGTTTTCAGACTTGACACCGCTTCACTCTGTGGCAATTGACAAAAAGTCAATTTTTGTCAATTGCCACCGCGTCACTCGGTGGCAATTGACGCTACCTAAAAAAGAATAGGCCTACTGAATTGTATATAAATTTTTAGTTTGCATTTACCTAAAGTATTTGTATTTGTTGAGACGAAACCAGGTGTCTTAATGACAGTGCATGTATTTTAAACCTCCTGTTTTCTAATGTTATAGGGCCTAAAATAAGTACGGCTAGACTTCTTGGCTAGCCGTACTTAAGGACGGCTAAACAGTTGGGCTAGCCGTACTTAATATTGATGGCTGAATTGTAAATGAAATTTTTAGTTTGCAGTGCCTAAAGTATCTGTATTTCATACAAAACCAAAAGGTGCCTTACTGACTTGCATGGTATTTGAACCTGAATAATTACTAGATCTAGATCTAATGAGACCTGTGTACTTTATAGGTTTGAGTCGATTCGGCTAGACTCTCAGGCTAGAGTACGGCTAGCCACTTCGATTCAATTATTCGCGCAGGGTGTGTGAATAGATGGAATTGTATTCTCACGTATGAAATTTTATTCACACAGGGTGTGTGAATACTATGAAATGTTATTCGCTCAGGTCAGGGTGTGTGAATACTATGTAATTATATATTCGCACAGGACGTGTGATTATTGGCACATGGCGTTTCAAAAGAAGGATGGAAATTTATTGGGCCTAGCATTTCCTCTTTTTTTCCCCTCATCGCGTAGGGACAAAGATCATGTATAACACACGGCGCTCCGGCAGTGGAATTTTAGTTGCCGGGGGGGGGGGTTCCCTGCCGGGCGCCTTATCACGTCGGGGTCACGGGGTTCAGCTCCCTGTCGCCGCTTTGTCTTTGCCGACTTAATTTTTGGTACTTTTCAACGTATAATTTAAGGTGTATCCTTGTATTTATGGTAATTCTCATTTAGTGCCCCCAAAGCATGCATTTCTGCTCTTGAGACTCAAAAAAGAACGGACGTTGTAACTTGTCTGGTTATTTCGTTAGATGAGCTGGAGTCGGCAATGCTAAATTGTAAATTTTTTTGGACTAACGTGAATGAAAAAAAAATCAATATATAAAAAAAAGGCCTCGTCGAAATCTGTCGAACTTTTGGAACATGAACGACATAGCATTGGTGCAGATACTCGGAAATAATTGTTTCTGTGCATATAATAGAAAGCTGTAATTTTGCAATTTTATCCATCGGGCACACAATTCGCTATGAAGTAATTCCTCCAAATACAACTTTATGTGTCTAATGTAATCGTGAATATTCGCATATTTTCTTGAAAGTTTATAAAAGTTACCATGAAGTTTCTCTGTGAAAAGTACTAATCGATTTTAGTGCTAGAATACATCTTCAATGTAGATCTAATACACGAACAGTATCTGTTACACACCAGAAATTCCTTACTTTTCTTAAAACGCTAAGTCTAGGTTTTGTAAGTTGACTGAATAATAGGGATGACTTCTCCTAATTGGGTAAAAAGAATAATTTCTAGCTTTCCAGGGACACTGAATCAGCACCAGACTTTTCCAGCTTTATTTTTCGTTTCTATGACCATTTGCAATAACTGACAATGTGACTGATTTCTTTACATTCATTATTGTGTCCGCGCATATTTCCGACACAAAAACTAAGAATGAATGTATCAGCTGTCATTATTTTTATTCCATACAAGAAGTTTATCTCTACCAATGTATTTACACGGCTTTGTGGTTTTTTTAATCGCTTAGATTCTATATTGTATATTTTTAGTTGTATGCAGGCTGCCACAGACACAGCATGATTCATGAACAAACACAGAGTAACTTTCTCTTGTTTAATAGTAAAACTTGACTATTTCTACTCGCGCAGATTTAAGATTTCTCATGGTAAAAGACATGATATTCGTAATCAGTTTAACACAGATTTTGGAGAGATCTGTTGTGCCTTTTTAAAATTAACAATCATTTATTCATAAGTTTGTAACGAAAATAGGACAAATTGGGTACTCTACAAACACTTGTCTCGAACAAAAATTAATGTACTGAAATTAACCATTCTAACGCAGAATAAATCTCAAGACATTGAGCTTTTAGTACATCCACGTAATGAGTAATGGTTTGCTATGTGGGATGGGGAAGAAGTTATATCGTTTTAAACATAGAATCTAGTCAAAACTGCGAAATTCCTAACCGACACCGGCAAAGTCGCTTCAGGTCTCATTAACCCCGTGACCCCGAGCCAGGGAGCTCCGGCGAGCTGCTGAGTCACGCTAACTAAAAGTAACAGAATCGGGCGAAAAGTGACACCGTGAACAAGATAGTTCACTCCTCTCTTTGAGCCAATTAAAAAAGTGTCCTCAAAATTCGGTGGCGCCCTCTTTGAAAAAGTGCGGACTTCGCAAACAGAGTTACCCTACTTGTACAAGTGTGAAAAACAATAAAAGTGAAATTAGCAGACTGTGCTTCCTAATATTCTTTTTCTGGAGAAACGAAAGAGAGCTTCAAAACAAAGACTCCAGCGCCATCTGAAGCAACGCGCGGACTTTTGCGGACACTTTTCGGGCTAAGTGAACAATCTTGTTATCATGTGCTATCTTTGGTAGGGATAGATCTAATTCTAATTGTGCAGTGCGATACGTAAACAACCCACTCAAATTAGAATTCAAGTTGTGTATTGTGTCAATGATAATGACTCAAATCTCTCTCTTTTTCATTCTTTGTTTTCCTTGTGCCTTGAGAGAGAGAGAGAGAGAGATGAGTGCATCCCGAGTGTGACAAACGAGGTCCAAAATCAATAGAGGGTCGACCGTGTGCAAATAGAATTATATCTTATGCGCACACCCAGTGTGAATAATATTAATTCTTATGCGCACACCCGGTGTGAATAATCACTTCCTTAATAAAATCCATCACTCCATTCGTTTTTATGGAGCACTGTAATGGCTATTGCTTTACACTTATTTACAGCTGTGACAAGCTCCAGTGTCAGTGTTGGTAGTTTAAGTTGAAGGGAGCAGCCTATCCTATAGGCTATCTAATTTCATATGTTGAGAAAAGGGTTGTGTACAAGTTGGCCACACTATGTCACAAATGTTTGAATGATAATACACCGTCATATTTATCAAATCTGTTTATCAAATCTGTTAAGACTGTACATTCCAATTCGCCGTTTAAGGTCATCAGCTGACAAAAAGAAATTAATTTACCATCTATGAAACTGAAAACAATAACAATGGGTGAAAGGCCATTTGAATACCAAGGCCCCAAGGTCTGGAATGCTTTACCAAGTACTTTAAGAGAGATCAAATCTTTTGATTCATTCAAATGTCAGCTGAAGTCGTTTCTGTTTTTAAATTAATAAGATGGATATTTAGAATACTTTTCTTTAGTCAGAACACGACGTTTTATGTTACTGTTGTACGTTGTACTGTATTGTAAAGCGCTCAGAGCCTGTGCACTTTAATCGGGGTTGAGCGCTATATATAAATGTGATTTATTATTATTATTATTATTACATAGCGAAATGGCTATTCGGTCTCAAGTCCGAACAGCCGCTGGAGGCTATTCCGACTCAAATTCCAGTGCGTGTGCGCAATCACCTGTTGTACCGTACTTTTTTGTCCCTGGCGAGGTCTGTACTCGAGTCCGAATAGTAGCTCCTGTTGCTATTCAGACTATAAACTATTGGTAGGCTATTACACTGCGTTTTGTGACTACAAAGGGATCAAAACGTAAATTTCATAATTAGTCCTTATAAGACAGCCCCCCCCCTTCCCTTTCTCTCTCTCTCTCTCTCTCTCTCTCTCTCTCTCTCTCTCTCTCTCTCTCTCTCTCTCTCTCTCTCTCTTACTTTTCCTCTCTCCATCTTACTTCCCCAGTCCCGCCCCACCACCTTCATCCCTTTTTTTTTTGTTGCATATAGGTCTAGATATCTCCACCTTCCGTCCCATACCGCTGACCACTGTCCGGCCCTACTATTATATTATATATTATCCTTTGTAAAGTCGCACTGGGTCTCCACATGTAAAGTCGCACTGGGTCTCCACGGTCGGCGTCCATTTGTTGTAAGTTCCTTGGCCAGATCGTAGAAACCGAGGAAGGCCAAGGTCGAATTGCTTGTCTGCTTCACATGCGGTACACCTCCTAGTGATTGCGGGCTTGAGTTCAGACTCGATTCCGATTAGCCACGGGAGGCTATTCGGACTCGAGTCTGAATAGCTGCGGCCTTTCACATAGATCTAGATTAGTAGATCTATATATATAAAAGAGTCCAGGATATAATAATCTATGGTTACCTAAAAATAAAAAAAAAATGATTAAACTGAATAAACCAAAAATAAACCAAAAATGGGGCTCAGCTCAGAGTCCTTATATAACCCTGGAGTTAATTGTCTCTAAGAGTACCAGGATGTGACGCATAATTAGTTGTGTTACGATGGAATGGAATCAGGCGCTCATCAATTTTTGGACATGGACTTTTATTGGTATCATCTTAGCTTGATCATTTGTTTTGCTTTCGATTAAAAAATTATTCATCCATCTATCTTCAATAGAACTTTACTTTACTTTACTTTTCTGATCCAGCGGCCATTTGGGTTCTAGCCCTTCGGTCTGTCGATATGGCAAAGAATTGACAGGTTTTCTTCAATAGAACTCAAGATATTTCGCTTTGAATGTGGTGGGGGTCACCTGGTCAGAGGTAAAATTCACGAGAAAATGGCTGCCATTTTTAAGTTTGGTGATTTCCAAAACTTGAGAGTCCTTGGAAACTGTAAATTTACATTTTTTTTGGTGCCTTCAATCAATGTTTTTCAATAAAATCCCCACAGAAATTTGTTTTGAAATGGACATAAAAGGTGCTGAGCCTTAAAAAATTAAAATTCAATTAAAATTGGAAGAAAGATGCAGTCATAAATTAGTAATCCTTTGTTTTCTCTTTTATCAGCCACACGAAGTGATACGTCTGGGAAAAAAAAAATTACTTTCTTTGATGTTTGCTGTCCCTGCTGCTAAGGGTATTCTTGAGCTATGGAGTCGGAGGCCAATCAGGACATCACTCACAAATCTGCCGCCTTTTCACCCTCCAACGGATCCCAAGAACAAACTATTTTTTCCACTTTTGAACCTCTCGTGATTCTTGAGTTCAAACCAAAATCGAAACAAGCTGCTCAAGAATGGCTGACGGCAAAATTGCAAGCCCCTCGAACAGAACGTGGTGCCGAACTTATTGTGAAGACAAATACTTCAGAGAACAGTAAGGTAAGCTCACGTGATATTTGATTTTTGGAGTAAAATTTAGTAAAATCAAGAAAACACAAGAAGTTTAATAAAAAAAAAATCTGAACTAGGAATTTTTATTGTTCATGCTGTCTTGAAAACTCTTGGAAAGGCAGACACCCTTACACAGCCCCAGTTTCAAATATTTCCCCCCACAAGTTTTCCTTACCCCGTACCCAGTGGCACATATTTTTCCCTTGCAGGGCACCGGCCATCTCAAGCTCACTCGGATATTTTTACAGCAATCTATCCAATTGTCACTGTAAAAAATATTCTACCTGTTATCTTCATAATCTCCCGACTAAAGTAGTAACATACAGACTTTTAAAATGTTTTTGCACAACATTGCAGTCACATTCAGTATTTTCTGGGCCTGAGGGATCCAAGACTGCAGTATTACCAGGGCCAAAAGGGAGGGGGGGGGGGAGACTAAAAATATCCTGGTTCTTTAAAGGTTCAGATTACAAATTTGTACGCCTTAATGTGTATGACCTTTAACCCTATCTGTACGCCCTGGGGTCATTTTGTACCCCCAGAGTTGTATTCTTCACAATTTAGAATACTTCTAGTACGAAGATCTCTTTGAAACTTTCAGTATTTCTCAAAAAATCATTTTGGCGGACTGCTATGCAAAGCGTACGGTTCGGATTATCGAATAATTTTTGTCTTTGGAAAGTGATGGCACAGAGTGCCCCATGTCGTATGGATACGATAGTAAAACACGACGTACGGATATGGTAAATGGATAAGAATACAAATTTGTAATTAATGTGTTTGACCTTTTAAAGCATATCGGCTGTTCGGTGAAAGACTCCCTCTCGTGTCATTTTTCAAAATGGCATTTGGCAGAATTTTACACTAAGCTGTCGAAATAAACAAACATGCACACACCAAGAATATGCACTGCACACACGCACGCACACACACACACACACACACACACACACACACACACACACACACTCTCCCACACACACATACTCAGGTCACACATGCGCACGCTCACACACACACACACACACACACACATACACACACACACACACACACACACACACACACACACACACACACACACACACACACTCTTTCACTTTGTTCACACACATTTTGTCTTTTTTGCTGTGAAGTTCAATGGAATTCTCCACACACGCACACACACACAGGCATGCATGTGCACAAACACACACTCTCTCACACACACACACACACATACACACACACACACACACACACACACACACACACTCACACACACACACACACACACACACACACCTCACACACACATATATAATACTATTTCTGACAATACACACACACATGCACATACCAAGACACATACACACACACACACACGCACACACACACACTCACACTTTCTCTCACACACACACACACACACACACACACCTCACACACACTCGAACACACACACTCATACACACACACACACACACACACACACACACACACACACACACACACACACACACACACACACACACACACACACACACACAAGCACACATCCTTTGACTTTTGCTGTAAGGTTCAATGGAATTCTGCATAGTTCCTTGTGAAATAAAAGCAGTGCCATTATTTTCTAATGTACTGGCGCATACTCATTTTTATTCTGTTTTAATAATAATAGATAGCACTTGTATAGGGAAAATCCCTGCTCAACAGCAAGTTCTATGCGCTTCACAATCTATACTATTACCCCAGTAGACCTGAGAGCATTTTGAAACAACCTCAACTTCCTGGGAAGCGTACAATTCTGTTTTCAACTAGCACTATCACCAAAATGCCTTTGTCAAGAAGTAGACCAAACTGTGGAACACATTTGTGAGGTGTGCTGTCAAAATGAGTTACTTCTCGCCATCCACAAATGGAGGTACTGGCCAAAAATTGACACTAAAAGGGTCCAATTTGTAGATTTTCTTTTGATGCCATATTCTTTAACTATAACATGCCTTTTATTTTTTCATACATGATATAAAATGTAAAAAACTTCACCTATAAGCATGACATATCTATTTGCATAGGCTTCAAATCCGAGAAGTAACTTATTTTGTCAGCACGATTCACATTTCCCAACAGTGCAGGACACACAGAGAGCCGCCGTGAAACAGGAATTGTGGCCAACCCCTAACACCTCAGGGGAAGCTATAAGGGCCAACAGAGGAATTGTCCAGGATGGCCCAGTATATGAGAGATACAGGACCTCAACTGTGATGCGATATTCGATTGAGACAAAACTGAAAGAAGACAGATAGATGTTAAACTTGAAGTTTTAACTATTTCCATTACTTTACTGTGTTGAAAGTTGGTGGTTGGCAGGTGCCCTGGTGTGGTTTCTCCTTCTTTCCTTTCAAACGTCTTCTCTAGTCCTGATCTCTCCTCATTCTTTTTTATGTTTGTGTAACTCTCTTGTAACACCTAATCTTCGGCACTTATATGACCTTATTGTGTTGCAAGTGCCGTAAAACTCTTACTAAAACTAGAACACTTTTGTCATTTTATTGCCTGGCCATTCTTGTGCCCTTTTCCTTGTTTTTTCATAAACCAAGCAGTGTTTGTGGGTGGTTGGCAGGTGCTGTGATGTGGTTTGCTCCTTCTTTTTTATGTTTGTTACTCTCTTGTAACACCTCTCATCTTCAGCACTTGTACACGGCCTTATTCTGTTGCAAGTGCCGTAAAACTCTTACTAAAACTAAAAACCAAGCAGTGTTTCTTTCTTTCTAATTGTCATGCTTTGATCTTTGTGGCTCTCCAGGAAACTATTCTGTACATAGGTGCAACGACTGAGAGGCTCTTGATCGGGGCAGAGGAAATGAAGATTCAGAAAACTTACCGTGACGGCTCTCTGAGAGACATCAGCCTCACAGACCTGGACAATTTCAACAACTCAGGTTCTTTACCGTTTGCTTTTTGTGCATACCCATCGCTCTTTATTGCGGTGTGTGTATAATGTTAGTTTATCAGATTTTGTAGTAAAACTGCCTTTTGTGGGTGATTGGCGGGTGCTCTGACGTGGTTTGCTTCTTCTTTTCTATGAAGCATCTATGGTCCTTATCTCCCCTTAGTTCTTCTTTTTTATGTTTGTTTGTTACTCTCTTGTAACACCTCTAATCTTCTGGCGCTCATATGACCTTATGCAGGTGCGAGTGCCGTAAAACCTCTACTAAACTGAACTAAACTGTGCCTTTTGAGCTTTGTCTCTGTTCCCTGTGGGTGGGTGGAGGGTGTCACTGTTAAGTCTTGTTATCCTCAAACTAAATAACATAGACGTATTATTGTGTTTCTGTGCTTTTCTTATCTCACACTTTCTTCTTCCCCTGTTGAAAAGGAGAATGAAAAAAGTGGATGGACAGTGTCATCTTGCCTGTCCTCTGCATTGTTGAACACTATTTTGTTATAGTAGGATATA